TTCTCCTTTTATTACATCACGAGGTGATCTGCTATGTCCAGCTTCATTCCAAACGGTAGACTGGGGCGGACATTTCTGTTCATCCCCAGCCACCGCCTTAGATTGAGGTGAGCACTTCTGTCCAGCTTCGGGATTGGTTTTTGTTTTTGTTGTTTCTGTTTTTGCGTTTGTTTTATTCATGTGTATTCCCACGAGTATCAAGAGAAGAGTTGGTCACTTCTGGCAGAGTCCCGCATCACCAGAGGGAGGCTGATTACAATGAGGTTTCGCCCAGTTCCCCAAAGGGATCGTTTGTAACCGCATATCACCCTGCGGCCATTCAGCTGTCGGCACGATTCCTCACACCTTAGCTTGGGTAGGCTGGTCCACGATGGCATGTTTTGCTAAGGCTTTTGGGGAGTTTTAGTTCCTCTCACCCTACTTATTTCTGCCACTGACCAGGAGTCCGACGACCTCGTCCGTAAGGCCACATTGGCTTCCCGGACAGGTCCTCCAGTCCCCTGGCCGTTCACCTATCCGCCACCTGGAGACGCGCCCGATAGGTAGCCCAATCCATGGGATAGAAGATCTACATTTGTATTCTTGGATCATGTGGGACGAATTGTATGGTACGCCAACAGAATGCTCGGTTTGAAAATGAGAGATGGCAAGGATCTCAAGAACATGGAAAATAAATTACTTTTCATAACCTATGTTCGTTCAGAATTAAAAAATAGCATATACCTAACTGTGGAATCCTATATATGTTACTCATTCAGCTTTCAGTGAAATAATTCAGCAAAGTTTATCTATATCAAACTGTTTGTTATATATCCTGAATAGAGGAAAATCTTCACAGTCATTTACTTGAAGAATTTCAGTTTGATAGTTTGAGTACCAGACGAATCATTCTAACAGTAACATTTCCATTTAATCTCATTCATAAAAACATTGATGGTCCATATCTCTATAACAGAAAAATTAAGGCATGTATACTCTTCCATCTGTGCGAAGCCGGCTCTGGTTGTTATTCATAAATGAAATTCAAAGCCAGTGTCGAATCTCCTCTGGATTTAGTGGGAATGATTTTATCAAAGCAGAATCAGATTGTGACTAAAACAGATGCAACATGAAAATTGGCTGTTTCTCTGGTAGAGTTTTAACGTCGATATTCACAACCTGCATATGAGCTTCTTCGTACAACTTTGAAGATTTCAGAGATGTGCAATAAGTATTTTCTATAATTAATTTCAAGATGAGCTTACGCTCAGGCATGCATAGATAATGAGTCAAAAGAGCTTGTATTATAGCAACCCACAACGGCTTACTTCAATATCAACATTTACTCTTTGACGTAGTTTGTAGATGCGTAATATTCTAGGATATAGTGGAATTTTGTGGGATACATTATTTCCATTTACGATATTCTGTTATATGGAAAACAGGATAGAGCATAATGCACCACTACAGAAGTTGGTTTCATATTTGAAAAGTTGCCAATTGGTCGAAAAAATAATGCTTGAGTTGAGTAATAGATAGAGAGATTTTGTTCATATTGCAAGATGGAATTGAGGAGATAAAAACCGAATCGCTCAGAGACCCCAAAGTTTATTATATTTAAGGAGGACTACTTTAAATAGGACAAAATGTAAATTGATGAATAAGTTAATATTTTTGAGAAAAATGAAATTTTATCGTATTTTTTAAACAGACCTCGTACATCTGACAATAGGCAAGTTTCCTTTGCATCCAACAACTCTTCCCCTTAACCGTCTCCAACTAAACTAGAATATTCATGTGTTCAAAATAGGAAAAGCATGTTAGTCGTCTGTTTATCTTTAGAGTAACCACTAATATCATTATTATTATGACTATTATATTTGAGAACTCCAATAATATCCATAACTTCATCATTAATTCTCTGTATTTCAATGGGTCCATAATTATTTTTTGAAAGTGGGAAAGTTTTTGATTATCGATTTATTAAAAAATATCACTCTGCATCATCACCTGAAAGCCAGATAATGCCTATAAGAAAACAAGCAAAATTTTGCATTGCAGTTAATTTGTTAATAGCAGGTGGCCATTAAACCAAAGAATCATATGGTTATCATGGGTTCAACCACCTTCGAATGTAACTAATATACCTCCACTTTTCATTTATCCTGCCGAAGATTTGGTTTCAGATCAATCGGGAATCTTGAATTCTTCTCCAGATTTTCATCTTCCTCTCGATAGTTCTAAATCTTTACGGAGTAGCAGAGGTTTTGGTTCTCTCGGTGAACACTAGTACCGTTGATTTAGCCCCTCCATTTTATCATAATATTCAGGGCCCGCTACATGTGTCCCCTCACTATTTTATTATATTTCCAGAAAATAAGGAAAAATATATTTTACGAAGATAACAGGTCGACAACATTATTTCAAAACGCTAAAAGAAAAATCATGTCAAGTATCTCAAAGATGCGAACTCGTTTCCTCCTTTTCATGAAAAGAACGTATGTTTCTCCATTCACATGCGATTTTGGTGAAATTGGCGACACGTTTGAATCATTGTATTCATGCCACGTTCCAGTGTAGGAATGTCTGCAGTATGCTGAGTAATGTCCGCTGTACGTAAATCCACTGTGATTCGAAAGTGCATATAGATTATAACGAGAAGAAGTTATATTGTCTGCTACACAATTGCTCATATCTAATCCATCTGGAGGAAATTCGATGCAACATTCAACTTGCCTCTAAATCTTTCCGTTAGAGAAAATCTTTCAAAATGAATTACTGAAGTACGATGGAATTTATGGATTGATAGAGCATTTTCTTCTTTTGTTGCAACTTAGACACGTCATATTTTCATATCCATCCAAAGTTTCCTCTCCTGTGATGGAATCCAATGCCAACTCTTTGTGATATGGGGAGTGACAAATCCTAAAACGGATCGAAGGTTACTGATGAGGGTCCACAGTGTGTGCCCTTCATCATGGATTTCAATTGACGAACGAAAGTATCTACAATCTTAGAGTTATTTATACTCAAATATCTCAGCCACGACTATTGTGCTTTTACGCTGTCGCTCAATTTTTCGTCAATCTCCGTTAGGATTGGTTTAGGTTTCTCATTATTTCTACTAACGTCGTCAGGTAAACTTTCCAAAAGATAACGAAGGAACTCCTGGAGGTCTTGATGCGCATGACCCATGAATCGAGGGGCAAAACTCTAAATCTGACTTTTCAAGAATACTGTTCCCTACTTCATCAGATAAATCTCCTTACCAAAATTCGTAGATACCTTTGCGAAAGCTATGATAGAAGCACCACCCATACTATAAATAGTAGTATTGATATATTTCATGTTTTCATCCTTTTTAAAATATTCCAGTAACCATCTCGTGTTTGACAACTTTAGATTACTAAACTATCGCACAGCCAGGTGCTTCATATCCATTATGGGGTTGAAATGGACACAAATGTGTCTTGGCACAATCATGTCGGTAGAAATGCAAAGGCTGCTTCTCGAAAGCTTGGAACACTGTTCCGAACCAGAAAACTGTACACACCTCAGCAAATTTTGATGCTTTATAGAGCTCAGATCAGACCTTCTTTGGAGAATTGTCGTCATATATGGAGCTCTGTTCCCAAATATACCCTGCAGTTGCTGGATTCCATCTAGAAAAGAGCCATCCGCCTGATTGGAGACACGAAAATCACGTGCAACCTTGATAGTCTGGAACATCGAAGAAAGGTTTGAGATTTGTCTCTCTTCTATAGATACTTTCACGGGAGGTGTTTTTTCAACCAGTACTGTCCCCCAAATACCAGATGTTCCACACTCGCTCTTGTTCCCAAACACAAAAATTGCAACACTCTTCTGAAGAAAAGGGTGATTTTTCTCAAAAGAACAGTACAACACTCACAAAGAGTGTTGTGATTCTGGTGTTCGGTAACGGTACTTGTTTTTTTGAAGATGGTTGACAATGTTTCGTGGTGTATTTCATCAGTTTGGACTTCCATTGTCTAATATAATATAAATTGATTTGAAATTCCTGAAAGGATAAAAGATAAGAAGGATTGGGTCCAAGTATAACATCAGGACCTGCTTCAGATCTGGGAACACTATCCGTAGCTGTCTCATGAAAACTAGGTCACCAAACGCGGACTGCGATTCCAAGAATTGCATTTACCGGATACCCTGCTATTCATACATCGGTGAAAGTAAGAGGCCATTGAAAGTTTACATTGCTGAGCACAAGACACACACAGCGAGGAGAAACTAGCAAATCCGGAATAGCAGAGCATGTTTGGACTCATCAACATAACATCAAGTGGGCTCAAGCTGAAATCATCCCCAAAGAGGAACACTGGTTTAGAAAAAAATTCAAAGAAGCCGCGTATATGTTGTCCAACAACGTATTTAGTCAAGCTAGCGTGGAGATACGTAACATATGGAAACCTCTAATCAAGCGAAAAACGAAAAACTCCCGCTAAACGGTCAACTCCTGCTAAAACCAATGAAGCGGAGAGAAGAAAGACGGGATAGGTGAAAGCACTCGAATGACCTATAAATAGTCAAATGTCGGAGGAATAAGTCCAGTTATTACCCGAAGACGATTGTGGATACTAACAATCAAAACGTCGTGACGTAAATTGGTTTGGAATCATTTAATTTTTATTTTTCATTTTTTGTTAATAATATTTTTATTTTTTGATTTTCAGCTTTAATTAACATTTCAATATTTTTTTGGTTGTTGCCTGTATGTTATTTCTTTGTAGTTTTCAGTTTTTTGTTTAACGAAGTTGTTATTTTCGGTTAATCTTTTATCTTTCAGTTAATCAATTTATATCATATCAGACAAAGAAAGTCCGAACTGATGAAATGTACTTGTTTTTGATGTATTCTATGCCAGAGGCTCCAGTTCCATCTTTTATAATGTGTGATAGGTATTTCTGATAATAAGAAATTTTCCCATTCGTAAAACCATCAAAATTTATCACGCCTTTTTCAAATCATATTTTTTTTTGTTTCAGACAAAAGCGCACCTGGATGTATTAGCTGATGCGCTACTTCGGTGGGCCCGCGGGCGCTAATTTCTCGACGATTCTCGAGGCGATCAAGGGAGTGTCCAAAGTCAGGTCCGCCCGCCCCCATGACCGTCATAATTTGTCCCTCCGCCCACTGATTAGCGTATACTTCAGAGAGCAAAAAGACTTTGCTGGCAGCAGTTACCGTAGCAGACCTAGTAGATGTACCATTCTTCGATTTCCTCTTCAATTTGACCCGATTCCAACTGTTCAGGACTGCCGCTGGCGTGTAGATCATTCCCAATAAGCATTCCGAGTTGAAAACAAAAGTCTATAGTCTAGAGAAACTCCTGAGGAAGAAGGCCTCATTTCGAATTGTTTGTTTTTGATTCAATACAGAACTGGTGCTCTGTAGTGTGGATCCTTCTCCAAAACGATTTCTTCGACAGTAGTTAGACAACAATCAGATCGTGAAATAGACCTGTTTCAAGAATATTGTTTCTGACTACTTTTCCATTCAACCTAATTGTAATATCAACTAGAAATATTTGTTATCTCACATTTGTTATATTATATGGATGTTAATATTGTTACATAATGTTTTAAATTAAGGCTGGTAAGATTCAATTTGACTTGCTTGTGATCAGATGTTTTGAGCAGGTATCCAATTTTCTCAAATTTCAAACTGCACCTTATTAGTCAATACATACAAAAAGAAAAAAGTAAAAAAATAATTGATGTTGCATTGTCTAAAAATGAAATGCTTTCGATGTATATTTATAATGCACTTCGTCAAAAATATGGAATTTGACAAATTTGGAATAGTTGTTGATACTGAGACTAAGCTCAAAGGAGGCTGGACCATGGTCTGAAATTATTAGAGAAAAGATATCGCTATGATTTAGAGAGGATGGAATTTTCGACTTTTGTCAATTTCTGGTTCCGATAATGATGATTTTTCATCCTGAGCCACCGGACCCTTCTGTTGACATATATGCGGTTTGCTACAGTTTCAAACAATGGTTATTTTGAGAGTTTCACTTATCATCAACAACGTTGTTCTTGAAATGTGAATGTTTTTCTTTTCGTCATTTGAATTTTAAATATGACGTGACCCTTGCATCAGTATGCTCAGTGGGAACTGCGAAAAGAGATATATTACTACTCTAAATCATCTTCTCCATAGCGAAATTGGTTGCATTTTTTAAATTTCAATGGGAAATGAAAACACATTCATTAGAGACTGTGCGAGTCAGAGATGAATCCTAGGATATTGTTTTATATGTGGTATTAGAATTTTGTTTCAGCCCTATACAGATGACTGATTCGTAATGTTCGAAGTTCCTCATTGATTAGTATACTATTTTAATAGTTTTTCTTGTCTCAGAAGAATCGAAACCACCGGCCTACTTTATAATTCAGCCAACCACAGCACAAAAACATATAGTTGAAAGAAATTACCACATCACCTACAGTAGCGAAACATTTCCAAATTCTTTATCATTCGTGTAAATGGCAGGATGATATAGGAGAGTTGGGAATCGATTTGAATTAGGTATAAATTTCCATGTCTGTTGACCTCATTTCCTAGAAGCTTCCGATCCTGTCTGAAAACAAGGAATGGGGCCAGAAGTGACTGGCCCCGAGTAATATTAATTTATTTCCTTTCAAGAAGATTTTGAAGTTTGAGTTGTTATTCACTTACGGATACTTTCAATTCTGGGTGTGATTTAAATGTAAGCCTAACTCTTAAGTAAGCAGATTAGGTATGCATTGAGAGGATACTCTCATTTCGAATTGTTATACTTGTGTGAATAACCGTAACAACAAAAACCGAAATATTTTTTGAAATATGCATAAGTCAGCACTGCACCGGAAAGGTTCGAAAATATAGATAATAAATATAATGAGAATTTGAAAATTTTATTTTTTCACGGATTCCTCGATGACGCTTACACCTACCTCAATATTTGGACATAAAAATGGATTCCACTGTAATTTCAAACAAGAATGTCTATATTTTCATTTAAAAAAATTGAAAAAGGTTGGTAATACATATTTGCATAAACAAATATTTTGGGGAAAACTGACGTTAACGAGCAGTAAAGTATTAATTACATGGTTTCTCATGGTTCAACTTTCAGACCATGAAATTCATTTTCGAGTCGAAATAGTGAAATTAGATACTTAGTAAACTTCAAGACTCAAGAGACTCTCGAATGGCAAGGACTATCAATAGTCATCTCTGGAAAATCAGTAAAAGTGTAATATCTTTCAACTATTGAGATGAGAAAAATCTGCTCTATCTGAATAAACTGAATTGAATGAAATCAGGCTTGAGTTTATTATTCTCAGGGTCAGTAGGGGATGAACTCTAGAATTCCCTTATTATTTTTCCAAAGCTTGCTAGAATGAAGTTTGGAATCAATTAGATTATACCCATGAATGTTATGACTTCTCCAGAGCTAAATATTTGTTCCTGACTCCTGATAACTTTAACGAAGCACACTGCACTTGCACTACTTGCACCAAGATCTCTCAATTATTTATGGAAAAGACAAAATTTCTATTGAAGTAACGTAGGTTATTCTCAGTCGAGTTTTCAATGTGATATATAAAATTAAACTTCTGCCATACAGGGCTAGAGTGTTTTTCTTTCGTCTCTTCACACGGCGCTGGGTAGACTCCTTAAATCAACAACCAGTGACATGAGGTAATGTTCTAGTCAATTCTAGTCAATATTTCAAGCGATTTTTCCAAATGAATTGAACCGAAGTAATAACGTGAATATCAAAGTGTAACTTATGCAATAAAGCCGTAATGTGATTCGGAAAGATACTCCTGGTTCCTGAGAAAAGAGACACAATCACCAGCTGCAAAATAACGGACCAGGCCTACTTTCCGCGCACACTTTTATATATTATTTTTTAGTGTATAGGATTGTTTCAGAGTTCCTCAATCACATGTTGTTTTCGAGGAACTCCAAAACGCACAGTTCTTAAGGAGTCAATCTCAAAAGCAAACCTGCACTCTACTGAAAGTAAAAATAATGTGAAAAATATATTCTAATAATCTATAAATATAAATATATTTATTTTCTACGTGTTTAGTTCTAATGATGATAATTGTTCATATAAATGTTTACAAAAACAATGCACTGATATTATCTCTGAATTCTAGTATTTTCATTATTAATGTCATATTGCACCAACGCACAAACAACGGAAACTTTTCGAAAAATATCTTTGAGAAACTTTGAACTAGATAGTATTTCTAACTTAAGTTCATAGATGAAGACCGCTCTTCATTTTTATATTCACTGATAGTTTGAGAGACACCAGACGTGTTGAGTTTTTTTATTTCGATCCAAAAACTCCCATGAAATGAAAAAAAATCAGAATTGATGTAACTTTATGAGGAAAACTGAAAAATGTTTCGGTTAACAAAGATATTTCCACTCCAACCTAACCGAAATTACTTTTTGAAAAAATGGTTCTCTTTGTTTTGATCAGAAATTAACCAATTTTTTCGGCCAACAAGATTATTTTTCGGGAAATTTCCGTTTCCAAGCACACTAGTTAGAATCAATGTCACCGCCAAAATCCCCAACTCCCATTCCAGAATCCTGGTTTCGCCGTTAATCCAAACCAATGACACACTTTCAAAGATGCAAATCATCGTGGCAAACATGGATAAATAGTTGTACCCTGACGGCCTAAATATTTTTATAACTAGATTTGTTGACTGATCAATAAGCTTGTTAATAGTTTATCAGATATTGGCTCGTCTATAGATGTTGCTTGATTTGCATCTTTCGAGAAGTCCTTTTCTTTGCTCAGCTGTGTAGGAACCACTCTGAGAAGTGGTGTTTTGTTCTCAATACCCTGCTTGTGGGTGGATCACATCTGAGAATTCGGCCATTTCAACGAACTAAACCGACACAGCTGGGCTGGAAAGTTACTATTTGTAAATGTGAATATTTTAATATAGCGTAAATATACGAAATGTAAAATAAAAATACTGAAGGTGCGCTAAGAACGTTGAACAGTGTTCACTTGACATCTCTAAGAGTATGGGGTAACAACTACTATCTATCCTGATACCTATAATATTATAAGCAGTAAATCTCAATATTCTGAATGTACAATAAATGCATCAGCCAATAAAATGGTATTACAAACCAATGACTTTTTCTATGAACTTCACTATGGGACACCGTTTTCTGTAGATTTGGCAAAGGGTAAGTATGACGAAACATTTCAATAAAAAATAGTTGTTTTGTGAAAGGTATTTTCAGGTTCATTTGGCCGTGGTCTATATGTTTTTATGCCTGACGTTTCGTCTACTACTGCAGTAGAGGCGATGTGGTAACGGTCGTAGTGCCCGAGTTGTTGCTCTCATTGTTCCGAACGCATTAACATGCTCTCATTACATCATACTAAGCTACAGTAATACTCTAATAAACTCAAACTTACTATTCAAGAGTATATTATACAAGAGAATAAAATTCAAAAACACCAGGATAATTTAAAAGAAAAGAAGAGGCAATGGACATAAAGTGTGGTTAGCTGTCCTTAGAGATACACAAACAACGTCAGGTAATCCAATTCAGAGAAACCAAGCCACGCCTACTAATAATAATAATAGCATAGATGTTAATGCGTTCGAAACAATGGGAGCACCAATTTGGGCACTGCGACCGTTACCAAATCGCCTTCGATGATTTCTACCGCAGTAGTAGACGAAACGTCAGTCATAAAAACCTGCAGACCAAGTCCTCTGTTCCGCTTATTACTATATGATGTCGTTAGGCGTCTTTCGGTCAATTATTCCGCCAGTTCAAATCGAAACAACCCGAAAATTTAACCAGACATATGGCAGTAACAGTACTATTGAAAGCGCTATTTGACGTTGGTTTGCGAAATTTAGTTCCGGAGATTTTAGCCTCGAAGATGAGCTCCAAAGTGGTCGACCTTCAGAAATCCAGGACGAGGATTTGAGGAAGAACTAAGCGCCAGTTGATGGTTTGAAGCGTATTGGAACGGTCAAAATGCTCGAAAAGTGAATGCCCTACGATTTGAACAAGCATCTGACATTGTCACGTTTCGGAGTCTGCTCTTCTTTGCTTTCGCGCATCCACAACCATCGTTTTTGGTTGCGCATGTGTGATGAAAAATGGATCCTTTAGGACAACAGGATTGTGAAACCGATGAGCCAATCAGGCACTTCCCAAAGGCAAAAACCCATCAAAAAGAGACCATGGTTCTCCAGCAATAAATCACGTGACAGTTAGAGACTGATAAATTTTGAAAACAAAGTACTTGAAAAGTACCCTGATTCAATTTCTCCGGAAGATTTCAATGACTTTTTCTGTAATATTGCAGATAATATTTTAATATCTTTACCAGCAGTAGATAAAAATACCACAAATTTTCTGAATAATCTTCCGAAACCCAAGGAATCTTTCTTCTTCATGCCTGTGACAAAAATGGAGGTTTCAGAGGCCATACAAAACCTCAACAATACAAAAAGTCTCTACGGTTGTGCAAGGCATAGTCGAGGGTTTTGGAAGGGGTGAACATACTTCAATTACAATGTGTGATGTAAGCAAGGCCTTACTCGTATTTACTATTCTTTTGAAAAAAACAATACATGTTTCTAGTAATGATATGAAATCTAGAAAGGTTAATGCAGTCAAGCTGCTGAACAATAATTCCATGAAAATCAAAAAATAAATAGATAAGTACTTTTTGACCATTCCCACATTGATTTCAATTTAAGAGCCACCGGTAGACAGCTGTTTCAGCCCATTGGGCATCGTCAGTACCGGGCAGGCGGTCCTCGATTGAAGAAATAAGGAAAAACCAAGAAAGTACTTGATAAAAATAGCTGCGTAAACGCAAGCGAAACATAAGTGGAACCACCTTGCGTTGACCACCTTGATTTTAAAACTATATCTCACGAACGAAAGCTGATAATGCTTGAAACCGTTTCTAGGATAGTAAGGGGGAACAAAACACAAAAAGTTTAAATTGCAAACCTCTACTTGTGATACATCATTGAAAAGACTATAAAAATGCTATTCAACGATATAAATAATAATTGTACAGGGTGAAGCAGTAATTGTGAAATTTTGGCTTAAATGGAATATATAATGAAGTTTTTGTTGGACTACATTTTTAAAAAATGTTAATTAAGTAAATGTTCAAAGTGGGTTCCGTTGTTTTGTAAACAATAATACAGTTTTTTTTCAAATTCTGCACGAACTTTGGCAAATGTTGTTCTAGTAATGTCGCGACATGCTTGTGTAATTCTTTCTCGCAATTCCTCAAGTGACGCAGGTTGAGTTTTATAAACAACTGACTTGGAGTGACCCCACAGAAAAAAGTCAGGTGGCGCCAAGTCTGGTGACCTCGGCGGCCACTCAATGGGACCTCTCCTTCCAATCCATTTGTTCGGATAATTAGTATGCAACCAGTGGCTAACTGGAGCTGCATAGTGAGGAGGTGCTCCATCTTGTTGGAAGTGCAGCAAATCTTCGTCTACAGCTAGGTTGCCTTGGTCGTCCCTTTGGTTCTCTAATTCACGCACAGTTGAAGGTTCGATGGTGTTTTTCAGCATATCAAGATAAATGTTGCCACTTAAATTGCCTGGTATGAACAAGGGACCAATTATAGCATCGTCTAATATTCCTGCCCAAACATTCAGTTTTTCAGGACATTGAGTGTGACCTTCTCTGCATAAATGGACATTCGTCACTGAAACAAATATTTTTTACCATTCTCGGTTCAAAACTCAATTCGTCGGTCTGGATCATCATCGCCTAGTTCTTGAAGAATTTGTGTTTTATACGGGTAAAACTTGTAATTTCAACACCTTTCTAACCGACTCATGTGAAAGTCCTGTCACTGCAGATACTTGACGTGTTGATGCAGTAGGTTCCATTGCAAAATTTCCAAGGACCTCAATTTGGGTTGCTAACCCGTTTCTCTAAACATTTTAACTAAATCGCGGACGTACATGTGACTTACATTTTTGTCCGGATGCCTTTCATGAAATATTTGAGCTGTTTTTGAATAACATTGGTTCTGGGAGGCAAATATGAAAATTATCTCCACGCGATCAGGTATACTGTAAACCATCGTGACAACTACAGCTGAATGACAGTACAGATCGTACAAATGATGAAAACTAATGATATTCAAAAGTCTCAAACAAACCAAAAGTTATTGACTCTGACAGAACCAAAAAAACAGATCTTTTCAACTTGTTTTGCAAAAACGGCAAATTAAGTATTCATTTAACAACAAAAGTATCGACGGACACTTATCATTTAAAATAAACAAGTCATAGTAAGCCGACTGTTATTAAAGTTTGTGCACACTTTGACAATAGGTTGTATTATTGTTTACAAAACAACGGAACCCACTTTGAACATCTACTTAATTGATATTTTTAACAAATTTGTAGTTCAACAAAAACCTCATTAAATATTCCATTTTAGCCAAAGTTTCACAATTATTGCTTCACCCTGTACAATTATTATTTATACCAGTAGATAGCATTTTTCATAGTCTTTTCAAAGATGTATCGCAAGTAGGGGGTTTGCAATTTGATTTTTTTGAGTTTTGGTGGGTGGGGCCTAGGGAGTTGATGGGGGTGAGTTCTCTTTCATGTCACTTTAGTTTTCCCTTACTATCCTAGAAACGGTTTCAAGCAAACCCAAGGAATCTTTCTTCTTCATGCCTGTGACAAAAATGGAGGTTTCAGAGGCCATACAAAACCTCAACAATACAAAAAGTCTCTACGGTTGTGCAAGGCATAGTCGAGGGTTTTGGAAGGGGTGAACATACTTCAATTGTGTGATGTAAGCAAGGCCTTACTCGTATTTACTATTCTTTTGAAAAAAACAATTTTTTATGGAATGAGGGGTATAGCACTTGATTTCTCCAGTATATATATATCTACACTAACTAAATCTACACTAACGATGTGTGATGTAAGCAAGGCCTTACTCGTATTTACTATTCTTTTGAAAAAAACAATTTTTTATGGAATGAGGGGTATAGCACTTGATTTCTCCAGTATATATATATCTACACTAACTAAATCTACACTAACGCTGACCGTGAAGCGGAACTCTGGCTCAGAGCAAACAACTTAAACCTCAACAAGGCCAAATCTCAAAAAATGATCTGCTCCTCAAACCAAAAATTATGTGGATTGGAATTTGTCAAGCTACTCGGTCTGATCCTTGATGATGACTTGAGTTGGCAAACCCATATTGGTATATTATCTAAAAAACTATCAACTCAGCTTTTTCTGTTGAAACATCTTAAACATTCTTTAAACACTTCTACCCTCCTATCTTCATATCACGCTCTTATCCACTCTCATTTGAACTACGGAAATATTTTATGGGGAAACTCACCTCTTTTAAAACGTGCTGTACGTTTAATTGATGCCCCGTATAATGCCTCATAGGCATCTGTCAAAGTATCCTCGAAATTGACAAAAATAACGATTTCCACAATCATTCAACCAGGAAAGCAGGCCATATGAGGCTTGCTAGATATAAACTTGCAATCTCACAACGCAATTCCAACGCAAAGGTGAATGACATATTCATATCAAGGAAATTGCAAAGGGTGAAATTCGTTATCTATTCAAAAAAAGAAACGTTTATTTGGTTCAGGATGTATGGGAGATCTATACAATGTCCTTGACATAGGTTTCACGGTAAAAAGTAAGTTCTAGTTGAACCTTAAAGAATTAAAAATAACTTTGCTGGTCATCTCTCCCGGAGTATAGATGGC